CAGTTTAACCATGGTAACCACAATTGGCCATGGTTTTGCCACACTAACCATAGTTTAAACATGGAATTTGAAGTAAAACTGTGGTTATAAAAATGGTAATTAATCCACCAAAAAAAAAAAAAATAACATGGTATAATTTTACTATAATAAAACCATGGTTAACTATCGTAAAGGAAGATATTTGGATAATGGGGGGATTTGATCATATATTTTATATAAACGTAGACGTACAAGCCAGCTAACAATTTTTGGTTCCCAGAACGTTATTTTTATGGTTTGTTTTTGGTTAGAACGTTTCTTAACGTTCCCAGAAAGTTAGTTTTTATTATTCTATTATTCTAACGTTCCCCTAACGCTATTCTAACGTTCCCAGAAAGTTAGTTTTTTTTTGTTTTTAGAACGTTAATCTAACGTTCGAACGTTTTCTGTAAGTTATTTTTAGGTTATTTAAAAAAACCCACAATGCAACATTCTTGGAACGTTATTTTATGGTTACAAAAAAAAACAAAAAAGAACGTTCCCCTAACGTTAGTATTTGGTTACCAAAAAATAACCAAACGGTAACCAAAAACTAACGTTAGGGGAACGTTCTGTGTTTGCTGGGAATGATGTGTAAAGCACATACACACATAAATACATATATTGATGTACAAATAAAGCAATCGTGATGTAAACGTGTGTAAATCGGCTGATGCCGATTTTAAATAATTTTTAACGGTTGATCTCCACAGAAAACGCGCGAAGGTGGATCGGAAAACAGCGCGCGCACTTTAAACTGTCAAGAAACGCAAACAGACGGACGGGTTTCAAATGTTTTCTGAGTAAAAAAAAAACATTCTTCTATATGTGTAACGCATAGATATTGTATCAGTCGTGGCGTTCTAACGTGTCGCGACACTGGTTGATATTAGCGAGAAACTGATCGGTTGTCAATCTTCACCTCAGAGACGATAGAAACCGTCGGATTCAGAGTGACGAGGTAAACACGACAAATATGATATTTTGACTGAAATTATGGACTGATAAACTAAAACTGTAAATATATGCACGATAAATAGATGTAAAGTATTTTGACTGAAAATTTTGTAAGGTTTAAAACAGAATATCTTTTTTTCCCTGCATGTCTTCATGTATAAATAGGAGCAAATGCATGTGAAATGAACAGATGAATTATGAACCATAAATTAATGAAACACTCAAACTCGTCAGGTGATGCTGAACGGCATTCTTCATAATATCAAAGCTCACTCTTCTGCATCTCAGTTCTCTGGTTGTGGATTATGAGTTAAATCGATCCTAGTGTGACGATGCTGTTTAATAGTCGCTAGGTGGCGCTAGAAACACATCACAACTCAATACTGCTGTCAATATGACACGCATCTGGCTGACTGATGCAGAAAGAGACATTTATTAACACAATGTACGAGAATTGAACCTCTTACGTGTTTGGCTCCATTTTTAAGCCTCTGCTGTTAAAAATGCTGGGTTAGAAAAAAAACAACAACAACCCAATCTGGTGGATAAATATAGGACAGAGAACATGAAGGATTAATCTATTATAATAATTGGGCTGCACAAGTAACCCAGCTGTCTGGATTACACATTTAACCCAAATGATAGCTCAGTGTAAGAAAAAGTTTTTAAAATTATTCTAGGAGGAAGGGAGCAACAGCTCAGTGCGCTGGAATCTGTGGCAGAATAACAATTTTATGGCATAAACATGATTTTATATTACTTTAGTGCATGTACACTTGCTAATATTTATGTTTGCAAAGTAAAAACACAATCTAATAGTAAAGAAACACAGGTTTACCGTCAAACACTGGTGTTGGTGTGACGTGACGTGGCACATTTGGATCGCTCCCATTATAATCAATGAAGCTGCCCACACGGCAAACCCTTCGCTGATTATAACAGAAGCAGTCCAGTGTATGTCTGCATTCGTCCAAAGCCAACAGCCCTAGCAGACATGAAATAATAATAACCATATTATGTGAGACAGCAGACGTTTTTCAGTCTCTACTGCAGTAACAATTTGATAGAAACACGAGAGAGTACAAACCTTCAGTTCAGGACAAATTAAATTACTCAAACGATTCTTCAGTTTTTATTATTACTGATGCTTCAGTTCCATTCAGGTTGATGCAGATAAACCGTCCGCTCTCACAGCCATTATATGATTTGATATGTGTCCAAAAATTCTATTTCCTTTAATTTAATGCATCCTATTTGGTCTGTCAGATAGCACAGGTACGTCTGTAAGACGTCTGTTAAAGATCGCTTGATCTGGAAAGCATCTGCTGTGTACAAACATATGGCAGACGTCTGTAAGATGTCGTTTTTAGAACGTTAATCTAACGTTCGAACGTTTTCTGTAAGTTATTTTTAGGTTATTTAAAAAAACCCACAATGCAACATTCTTGGAACGTTATTTTATGGTTACAAAAAAAAACAAAAAAGAACGTTCCCCTAACGTTAGTATTTGGTTACCAAAAAATAACCAAACGGTAACCAAAAACTAACGTTAGGGGAACGTTCTGTGTTTGCTGGGAATGATGTGTAAAGCACATACACACATAAATACATATATTGATGTACAAATAAAGCAATCGTGATGTAAACGTGTGTAAATCGGCTGATGCCGATTTTAAATAATTTTTAACGGTTGATCTCCACAGAAAACGCGCGAAGGTGGATCGGAAAACAGCGCGCGCACTTTAAACTGTCAAGAAACGCAAACAGACGGACGGGTTTCAAATGTTTTCTGAGTAAAAAAAAAACATTCTTCTATATGTGTAACGCATAGATATTGTATCAGTCGTGGCGTTCTAACGTGTCGCGACACTGGTTGATATTAGCGAGAAACTGATCGGTTGTCAATCTTCACCTCAGAGACGATAGAAACCGTCGGATTCAGAGTGACGAGGTAAACACGACAAATATGATATTTTGACTGAAATTATGGACTGATAAACTAAAACTGTAAATATATGCACGATAAATAGATGTAAAGTATTTTGACTGAAAATTTTGTAAGGTTTAAAACAGAATATCTTTTTTTCCCTGCATGTCTTCATGTATAAATAGGAGCAAATGCATGTGAAATGAACAGATGAATTATGAACCATAAATTAATGAAACACTCAAACTCGTCAGGTGATGCTGAACGGCATTCTTCATAATATCAAAGCTCACTCTTCTGCATCTCAGTTCTCTGGTTGTGGATTATGAGTTAAATCGATCCTAGTGTGACGATGCTGTTTAATAGTCGCTAGGTGGCGCTAGAAACACATCACAACTCAATACTGCTGTCAATATGACACGCATCTGGCTGACTGATGCAGAAAGAGACATTTATTAACACAATGTACGAGAATTGAACCTCTTACGTGTTTGGCTCCATTTTTAAGCCTCTGCTGTTAAAAATGCTGGGTTAGAAAAAAAACAACAACAACCCAATCTGGTGGATAAATATAGGACAGAGAACATGAAGGATTAATCTATTATAATAATTGGGCTGCACAAGTAACCCAGCTGTCTGGATTACACATTTAACCCAAATGATAGCTCAGTGTAAGAAAAAGTTTTTAAAACTATTCTAGAAGGAAGGGAGCAACAGCTCAGTGCGCTGGAATCTGTGGCAGAATAACAATTTTATGGCATAAACATGATTTTATATTACTTTAGTGCATGTACACTTGCTAATATTTATGTTTGCAAAGTAAAAACACAATCTAATAGTAAAGAAACACAGGTTTACCGTCAAACACTGGCGTTGGTGCGACGTGACGTGGCACATTTGGATCGCTCCCATTATAATCAATGAAGCTGCCCACACGGCAAACCCTTCGCTGATTATAACAGAAGCAGTCCAGTGTATGTCTGCATTCGTCCAAAGCCAACAGCCCTAGCAGACATGAAATAATAATAACCATATTATGTGAGACAGCAGACGTTTTTCAGTCTCTACTGCAGTAACAATTTGATAGAAACACGAGAGAGTACAAACCTTCAGTTCAGGACAAATTAAATTACTCAAACGATTCTTCAGTTTTTATTATTACTGATGCTTCAGTTCCATTCAGGTTGATGCAGATAAACCGTCCGCTCTCACAGCCATTATATGATTTGATATGTGTCCAAAAATTCTATTTCCTTTAATTTAATGCATCCTATTTGGTCTGTCAGATAGCACAGGTACGTCTGCAAGACGTCTGTTAAAGATCGCTTGATCTGGAAAGCATCTGCTGTGTACAAACATCTGGCAGACGTCTGTAAGATGTCAGTTTTACATTCATTCTAAACCATAAACATCTTAGAGACATCTTAAAGACATCTGATACACATCTGATAGGAGACGTCCTATAGACGTATGGCAGATGAGCAAACACTCTAAAAAATACGTCTTGCAGATGTAATGCAGACGTCTCCGTGATGTACGTGTGCTAGTTTTACATACATTCTAAATCATAAACATCTTAGATACATTTTAAAAACATCTGATACACATAAATTACTCAAACGATTCTTCAGTTTTTATTATTACTGATGCTTCAGTTCCATTCAGGTTGATGCAGATAAACCGTCCGCTCTCACAGCCATTATATGATTTGATATGTGTCCAAAAATTCTATTTCCTTTAATTTAATGCATCCTATTTGGTCTGTCAGATAGCACAGGTACGTCTGTAAGACGTCTGTTAAAGATCGCTTGATCTGGAAAGCATCTGCTGTGTACAAACATATGGCAGACGTCTGTAAGATGTCAGTTTTACATTCATTCTAAACCATAAACATCTTAGATACATTTTAAAAACATCTGATAGGAGACGTCCTATAGACGCATCGCAGATGAGCAAACGCTCTAAAAAATACGTCTTGCAGATAGTATATAGACGTCTCCGTGATGTACGTGTGCAATCTCGATTCTCTTTTTGCTTTTTGAAAGGCACCCGACCCCGAGTCTTTCCTCTTGAGTAAATACATGTAGCTTTATTAAAAATGAATAATGTGACACACAGAAACACACTTTTATGATGCAGAATATAATGTGATATGTCTTTGATATCTGTAGCTTGTCTGTCCATATAGAGTGAGACAGCTGTCTGTCAGATTATACACGACAGAATTGACTTTATGAACGCTCTGAGCTTCCTGTGGCCCACGGCGAGGACGATGGGCGACAGCGCGATGAAGGTGATGTTGGCGATGCGAGCGACGATGAGCAGGAACTCCGTGGACGAGGTGGAAGATCCGCGGTTATAGTTGAAGTAGTTGACGGAGATGATGCTGGCGCCCCAAGACGAGATAAAGAGGACATTCAGAGCCAGAATCACCTGAGGAAACACAGAGATGTTCCGCTATCTCTCATTCTTCTGTTCTGTGATACTGATTCAAAAACGGCATGATCTATTTACACTTCTGTCACTTGCTGGAGAACCAGAACATGAAGCGACTTGCATGTGTTCCCAACGGACGCTGATCTGCTCTTCCCACAGGATTACGGCCGTAATAGAGGATCCACGAAGCTCATTAGCGGAGGAAATGATATCTTCACGGTATAATTAGGGTTTGGGTCTGGGACTGCACTGCTTAGTAGGTCTTGTTGGATTTGTACACTAGATTTGAGAGAGAACCACTGAAATCCAAATCGATCATGTCTGTAACGTCGCGATACACATTAACATTTTAGTAGATATTTAAAATGACTCTGTTTCTCTTTTGGGAGAACGGACTATAAGCGTTGATGACATCATCATGCACTTGGGGGCGTGTCCGGTTTTTTGTCCGGTAAGTGCATTAACATATACAGAAAACTAAACCATTTTGCGGGATCTTCAAGGATGTAAATGTCACCCCAGGTCTTCTGTTTAATACATACTAGCAGTATCTCATTACATGTAATCTGGATTACATAATCAGATTCCAAAAACTAACTGCTTGTAATTAGAGTATATTACATTTTAAAATGCTCATAATCAGATTACAGCTACTTTTTATGGATTAAATGATTGCATGTTATTCACACAATGGCAGTAAATCATTCTCCCTAATTACTCTTTTAAACTTCCTCTGTAACAATCCTGCTGTGTGTCGTACCATTCAGCTATGACTATACTCACAAATGTCGTGTATGCAAACCATGCTTCAGAATTTGAGGGGGAAAAGCACTTCTTAAGCTATCAGACCATTTATGAAGCAAATAATGAAGTCTGGACAAAAATATTTCAATCCTGGAAGACTTTAGGCGTGTAATGTCATTGTTGTTTTCATGTTTATTGTAACATGTGACATTGTTCCAACTGTTCATTGCATTCCCTAGTTTCATGTATTTTATGTTGTTGATATAAAAAAATATATATATTTTTGCTTATTTACATCAATTTGGTGTGTTTAATGGCAAGTTTGATAAGAAGTAATCTAAAAAGTAGTCAAAATAGCTAAAATGAGTAACCTAGATTATGTTACTAACTACCGTTTTCATCATGTAATCTGTAATCAGTTACAGACTGATGGATTACTTCTCTAGTAATCTACCCAGAGTTTGGTTAGGAACATTGTGCTCACCTTAGCGGCCCGTCGCTCCGCGGGGATCCGGGTGATGATCGGCGCGTCCGGACTCTTTTTGGCGGCTCTTCGCGTTTGTCCATGAGCGTACAGCGTCAGCAAGGAGCCCAGGTTTGTGGCACTCATCAAGAAGATGGGAATCATTTCATGGATGACCATGGAGGAGGTGGCGAAGGCCAGGCCGCTGTAGACCGACGGGAAGTTCCAGATGCAGCCAAGCAGCGGTCGCGTGGTGCTGCTCACCAACATCAGTGACTAGACGAGAGGTCAGAGGTCACACACAAGTTAAATAAAAGTCTATGGCTGGGGAGTCCAAATCTCCTCCTGCAACCCTAATTAACCCATAAAGAGACATCATTAAATTAATTTAGTGCTATTTTCCATCTTATTGGAACTCAATGCAATTTCAAGATTTTTGTTTTCAAAACTTGACTCTTATTTTTGATTTTAATGTTTGTATCCCCCAGTATACTTTGTCCCTTTGGGGTATATATTCACTGGAATCAGAACACTTGTTTATCAATGCTTGTTACAACATGGTTGCTTGGGAATATACGGACCTAAGATTGGTCTCTTTTTGAAGAAGACACATTATTGCTTAAGTGAAAGCATTAAAAAAAAGAAATTATAAAAAAGTCATAAAAGTTTACGGTAAAGATAATGTAGTGTACTATTTTTATTTTATTTTATCTAAATAAAATATTTTATAAACTATGTTGCACTCTAAAATTGCTATGAAATCAAAGCCATATGTCTAACCAAGTTATGTTCCAAATTTGAAGTTGACATCACAAAAATTGTGGTTCCTGTGAGATTTTGTTTGGGCACTATATCAAAAATAACAACTCTATTGATGCAGTTTTCTGTCACAAATCAATCACTGTCTGTCACAATATCACTTCTATTACAAAATATGGAACCTTGACTGTCAGACCTTTCCAACGATATTTTGTCAAGATTACAAAAAGATTTGATCTTCAAAAACACAAGCCACAAAATCTCAGTCTATATATATGTTTTTATATCTTGATTTATACCCCTAAAAGGGCGACGTATTCCCTGAGACACAAACATTTAGAGATAGATTACAAAAAATTTAAGCATTTAATTTATAAAATTTCAATGTAAGCCTAATGCTGTACAACAGCTTTTTAACCAGGTATGTCCCCTCCAACATGTGTAAATATATGAACTAGATCAACTTTTATAGTAGATTTCCCACTACAGTCAATCAGACAGGAATGGACACCCCTGGTCTATGGACTCTTATAGATCAAGAAAGAGTCGGACTGACCTCGGTGGAGTTCTTGTCTCCGTTCTTGGAGAAGATGAACGCTGGGATGGAGTAGATCAGATTGAGGCTCCAGATGAGGCACAACCCAAAGATAAGGGACCTGGGGGGTCCGGGATGGCCGTGGATGTTCGTGACAGGCGGAGCAACCCGACGCAGCGTTTGGAAATGAAACGCGCTGAGAAAGAACGTCGACCAAACGTTCGCAGAGCGCAGCCAAACCCAGATTCCCATCATAAAGCGACACCAGTTTCTACTAAGGAAAACCTGCGAGAAAAGGGCCACGTTGATGATTTCCGGTTAAAAACAGGTGCAGCATCACAATCACCTTCATACGAATAAAGTCACTCAACAAAATCCAACTAGAGTTTTACATTTTCCTTGGATTGTTGGCTGTGGACACTGTTCTACACCATCAAGCACTCTGTGTAATTCTGACATTTAGACACCATTGCTCCGTCCAAGCTTAGGCGACTGAAAACTCTCCCTCAGTTCTGGCTGAATAATGAAATACGAGTCCTCATAAAACGATAAAACAAAGACTACAAGTTTACAAAGTGAACCAACATGTAGGACCTAACATTCGGTTTATAAATAGCATTTCTGTCCAAATCAAAACTTCTTTTGTCCGGTCTCAGCTCTTCTAAAACAATAGAAACATCACAGAAAATTCTAATAGTTTCCACTACAAATACCATTACAAACAATCAACTTTTAACCATTAAAACCATTTAAAAATGGTTTTCTGTAGTGTGTTTTGGGACATATTCCATTAGGATGTATTGGTTTTAAGAAGCTACCAATAGAAGGCGACCAATTACCAGTAGAGACCCACAGGGTCATTACAGTTTCCATTAAAACCAATACAAGTCCCATTATAACCAGTAAAACCATTACAAATTTTGTGATGGTGCCTATTGTTTTTTTAAGCAGGGAATGCTTTCAGATAACGACATTGTGGATAAGTTTCAGTCAGGGTCTACAACCTACTGTAGCTTAGAGTCTGCTTTGACATCATGTTGACCGTTGATCCTGGACATGCTGATTTATTCACTGCTGCCTTTAACGCGACTGGGCTACTGTAATTTCTTGTACATAGGAATCTCCAAGCACCATTGGTCCAGCTGCAAATCTTCTGCCAGGCACTATTACACCAGCCTTGGCATCTACTAGTTTTCAGTTCAAGATTTTATACGGTTCAGCTGCCAAACTCATCATGGTATAACCTCCCTTTACACCTACATCAGATCTTCTCCTACAGGTCTTACATTAGGACTGGATTTTGGGTGTTTTTTTGAGGCAACAGCAATCATTTGGGTCGTACTGAATGTTTCACATGTACTTTGATAACAGTATTTTAATGCTCAACCTCTAGTTGTTATATTTATTATATAAGCAAGCACATGTTATGTCGATAATACCTCCCTTCCCATTCAGGAACTCACCGCTTATTCATTGGAGATTGATCAAAGTTGACTTTTGAATTCAGAAACGGAATAAACACTGATACACTGTTTCAATGTCTTTTCAACATTGGAGAATTAGATTTCAGTGTTCATTTACACATTTTTGTTAACCTTTTACAAGTATTTAGCCTATAAATAAACGCATATTATATTGCTGCTGATACTTACAGTTGAGGTCAAAAGTTTACATTCAGTTCACATAAAAGATGTGTACATATAGTCCACAAGAGAAAATAATAGTTGGAATTATAAAAACGACCCCGTTCAAAAGTTTTCTCTTAACACTGTGTTGTTAGCTGACTGATCCACAGCTGTGTTTTTAGTTTAGTGATAGTTATTGTTTATTTAGTACTGACCTGAATAAGATATTTCACATAACAGATGTGTACATATAGTCCACAAGAGAAAATAATAGTTGGAATTATAAAAACGACCCCGTTCAAAAGTTTTCATCCCCTTGACTCTTAACACTGTGTTGTTAGCTGACTGATCCACAGCTGTGTTTTTAGTTTAGTGATAGTTGTTCATGAGTCCCTTGTTTGTCCTGAACAGTTAAACTGTCTGCTGTTCTTCAGAAAAATACTTCAGCTCCCATAAATTCTTTGGTTTTCCAGCATTTTTGTGTATTTGAACCCTTTCCAACAATGACTGTCTGATTTTGAGATTCATCTTTTCACGCTGATGACAACTGAGGGACTCATATGCAGCTATTACAGAAGGTTCAAACACTCACTGACGCTCCAGAAGAAAAAACCATGCATTAAGAGCCGGGGGGTGAAAACTTTTGAACAGAATGGAGATGTGTACACTTTTCTTATTTTGCCTAAATATCATATTTTTTTTCATTTAGTACTGCCCTTCAGAGGCTACAGAAGATGTTTTCCAGAAGACAAAATAAGTTGAATTTACCCTGATCTTCAAATTCAAAAAGTTTTCACCCCCGGTTCTTAATGCATGCTTTTTCCTTCTGGAAAACCTGTGATGTTGAATCATGGATCAAGGCTGAATTTTATTTTGAATTTGGAAATCGAATCAACGCTGATATTGCGCCATGGTTCAACCTCCTACTTTTCAAAATGGGAGAGCAAAATTTCAACATTGATTTATATGTATTTTGTTAACCGTTTCACACCCATTTAACATAACATGTTGTTTCAGCGTTTTTGCCTTAATCATTGGAAAAACATCAGGTCAACTTTCGGTCGGGTCCAATCATCCATCACACCACAGTCATTCCTCCGTACCTCCATTCCCATGTCGGAGATCACCAGAAGAGAGTTTCTGGCCAGCGACACCATCAGGTTGGAGAAAGCCATGTTGACCAGAATCACGTCAGAGCTTCGTACGGCTCCCGTCTCGCGCAGAAGGCTTTCCCCGACCACTGCGATGACCGTGGCGTTACCCATGTTCCCCAGCAGCACCAGAATTAGGTATACGGCGATGTAGAGCGGAGACGACGCCATGCGCTGAGAGTGCTTTCCTTGAGCGGCCATGCGTCTCCTGATCACTGGACAGTCGAGTGTACTTCTCAGCATTTATGAGCTTCTCTCAGTGACGTGTCAGTGACCTCATACCCTCATCACCATCGTTACCACATATATATCAACCCAACACCACATCAGCTCCATCCCGGTGCTGCCGGTGAAGGAGAAGATACCACGAGGAGCCGGCGAGATTCCACCAGAGATACACATGCATTAGGATTCACCAGGGATTGAACGCTCCCAACAGGCTAATTAAACCCTCACTAGTTAGCAGCCTAATTCATTAGTGAGCCCACTACGATCCCACGGGGCTTAATATCAAGGGTCCAAACAAACTTCTTAGTTTAGCAATGATGCTA